AATATATTTATTTTTATTATAATTGCAAGTGTTAATATTAAAATAGTATTATTTATGTTTTGAATATTATGATTTTTATTATAATTCAAATTATTAATATCAACAATACTGTTATTTGGGGTATAAATATTATTATTTTTATTATAATTAAAATAATAATATTTATAACACAAATTATAATATGTTTGATATTAATACTTTCAACAATAATAAAAATTATAATATTTATAATTAAAATAATAATATTTAGAAACCTATAAAACCTAATAGTCTTAGGTCTTGACAAAGAACACTAGAAAATTGGGTCCTAATGCAGGATCCATTAGCCTTGGGTATAGAGCAAGCCAGATATAACACCACGTGGGTGCACGGATCTGACCTAGCGCACAAGCAGGGCAGTTAAAACACCAGGTGTCTGCATCCCAAGGCCTATAGCCTCACCAAAACTTAAACTAATAATTTTCTCTCTAATCATTCTTAAAGACAACTCACCCCTCTCCTGATGCCCTTGTAACTTTCTATGGCAAGGGCTAATCTACCATTATATTATTCCAATCCATAATGCTTTGTGTCTAGATAAACAGTAACAAGAGTACTGACCCTTTTTACTATTTTGTATAATATTTTATGTTTCAAGAAAAAATATTATTTTTTCAATGTGAGATTTAAAATTCTTTAGTAAATATGTTTTATATTTATAAGAAAAAAAATTATAATTTTTTAATATGGGATAAATTTTTTATATATTTTTTTTAAACTTTATTATTTACAATATATATAGCTTATATTCACATGAATTATTTTTTAATTTTTTATATAAAATATGAAATATGAAAATTGTATTTTTTAAAAAAAAATTTCAAATTGACTTAGGTTGACCCATGTAACTTTTGATCCGACCTCTTACCCAGATCAACCCCATATCAGATGTGATAACTGATTAAAAGGTTCTTATCAATTTTGATGACTCACAGCATTCAATCTAAAGTGCTAAAGCTGTTATCCTTTAAGAAAAAAAAATCTCCCATGCTATCAATTTGGTTAATTGAGTATCTATAATTTTCATTTTGATCGAGTATAAGTAACCTCAATTGAAAAAAAAATCTTTTACTCAATAGAAAGGATGAGATGAAAGATGATATTTCAAGAATGACAAAAAAAAGTTGATGATAATGACTAAGGTTGTGAAGAAGAATTCTCAACTGATAGAGATAAATCTTTAATTTTGGAAAATTTTACTCATTTGACTGAAATTGAAAAAACATATGCTCAATTGACAAAATTAATAATGGAGGGACTCTTTTGGCAAGTTGTTGAAATATAGGATGGAAATAGTGGGTTTTGTCAAAATGAAGGATATACTTACAGAACGAGTGGACATGAAAGCATGAATGCATAAAGTTGAAAAATGCCTTGACGGGCCCTTGTTGCCAAAGAAAAAAATTGCTTGGGAAAGCAGAGCCAGGACTTGTACAAGTAAAGAACACGTTCGTCAAAAAAAAAAAAGAACACGGGCACGTCTGTCATTCCCGCGATACCTTACATGCCTACTGGGTTTGTAGGATATTCAATGGGCCGTGAGGATTAGTCGTAGTGCGCCAAGCTGGCCCGGACACCCCACATAAATAATAAAAAAAAAAAACACGTTCGTCCAACCAAGTGGTGGTCAAGTGGTAAAAACTTGGGATTAAGGGGTTTGCTTTTTTTGTGGTTTCAGGTTCGAGTTCTTGGTTGCTCATATGATGACCACTGGAAGCTTACATGGTCATTAACTTCAGAACCCGTGGGATTAGTCGTGGTGCATGCAAGCTGACCCGGACACCCATATTAATCTTTGAAAAAAAATACATTCGCCTGTCGCCAGCACAATTTAATTATTTATGAGTAGTTGAAGAAGGAATTTGTTTTCAATAAAATATTTTTAAAAATAAAATATTTTTTAAACCTTTTTAAATAATAATTTATACACAAAATCATTCAACAATCTTAACCATCAAAATCTTATCATCAGCACTACATGCGATATTATCATCACTGTTGCTATCTTCATTACCACCCCGCTACTGTAACTGTACCACCATTAAAGAAAATTTCAGCCAGATAAAGGTGTTTAAAATTGTGTTTTAAATGGTGTTTTATTAAATTATAATTTTTTTATTTAAATTTTTTCAATCATTGATATAAAAAATAATACTTAAAAATAATAAAAATATTATTTTAATATATTAAGGACTAAAATTTACGGATAAGAAAAGGTTCATCTCTTTTTTGTATCCCTCAATTTTTTTTTTCAATTTAATCCATTCAAATTTGCTTAATTTAGTATTTTCCTTGATAGTTTTTTTTTTCTCACCCTGATACGGAAATCTTGGAATGTAGAGGGAAATTTATGATGCTTGGTTTTGTAAAATAAAATAAAATTTGGGTTACTTTAAAACAATTAAGTTTTAAGAATATAAAATTAAAAATAAAACAAATATAAAAATTAGAGTAAACAAACAAGACAAAGAGAATGGAAAGACATTGCTATCTTTGGACATCATGTGAGGGATCATGCCAAAAAATTCATTCCATTGTGTAATTGTAATCTTCGCATCGTCTTCTTTATGTTGAGGCGGCGTGTAGTAGCAGGGGTGGGATGATTTATTGCCAACAATGTTTTTTTTTTTTTTTTTTTCCACTTGAAATTTACACTAATTATTTAAAATTTTAGAATTATCCTTTTATTTATTGAAATTTTAACTTTGATATTTATTATTTTGATTTTTAATTTATATTCTTGGCTATTTTGTAAAATTTTAATTTATTTTTAATTTCTTTATTAAATTCAAATTTATGATATTTTATTTTTTTCAACTTGGTCCTCATTCTTTTAATTCTTTTTATATCTTATTATTATATTAATTTTTCTTTTTAATTTCACCCTTCAATAAGAAATTATTAGTTATTCTTTAACTTATTTTTTATTGAAATTTTGATCTTTATTTTTTTAATTTTTATTTTGAGATCCTTTTAATTTACTCAAGGTGACTCAGGTTGGTTATTTTTTTTTTAATTTAATTTAATTATTTTATATTTAGTTAGTTGAGAACTAAGTTATATCATATTTTCTTTGAAAAATAGTTTTTTTTCAATATATCATAATGATTTTTTTTATTTAATTCATTTGGTGTCACTGTCTATTATTATTTTTTATTATATAATTAAAATACAAATAAACTTATTTGATCTAGTTGGCTGTACAATCTAAATTGTAGATTTTTTTCCTTTTTTAGAACTCGCTTGTGGCATCTCAATATCATATTTTTTTTAAATAATAATAATAATAATCTTACCCGCAATGTAGCACAATTCCGTAAATCTAGTGTGTACTAATCTGAGTACGGATTGAAAAAAATACAGAAGACGAAAATGTCTCAAACTAAAAAAAATCTCTTTATATAGTAAAAAAGTCTCCTGAACATCATTATCATTTTGGGGCTATTATAATTGCAATAATCTGTTTTATACCATATATTTTTTTATGTTTTTTTTGGATGCCACAACTTTTGTTTGTGATGGAAAATATCGATCATTATCGCATCATAAACAACACAAATATACAGCTATTTAGGCATTTTAAGATGAGCTCTTTCTCTTTTCCATTTTAAAGATCTTCTAATTTTCCATCTCACCAAATTATCATTGAAGTAGAATTGGAACTTATTATTTTACTAGGCAAATGTTGTTTATTGGCTAGAAAATAGTTTTTTTTTGAAAAGTAGTTTTCATGAAAATTAAATTTAAAAAAAAACATATTTTTTTTTCTGATGTTTAGTAATATTATAAAAAAATAAATTGAAAACACTTTCTAGTATTTGACTACACTATGAAAAATAAGTGGAAAAATAATTTATTAATATTTAATTTTTTTCAAGTTTATTAAAAATATAGAGACCAAATTTAATGGATCGAAAGATTGAAAGATGATGAAATTGAAAAAATATTTAAATTTTATAAATTATTTTAAATAAAACAAATAACAATTAAAATAATAGAAACTAAATATGACAAATAAAAAGTTGATAACTGATGAAATTAAAAAAAATTAATGTCAAAGATCATTTAAAATAAAATAAATATAAATAAAAAGAATAGAGACTAAATTTAATGAATAAAAAAAATTTCAATTAAGAAAATGATAAGAGAAAAATAAATAACAAAAATAAAAATATAATCAAAGTTGATATAAAAATCAAATTAAATTCTAAGGAACTAAATTAATAACAAAATTTTATATAATAAATAAATAATAGGATATTTTTTTATTTTTTATAACTTTTAGAAAGTGTAATATTTCATCTAAAAAAATACTTTTAATTTTTTTGAAAACTAAACTAAATTTTTTATTGATTGAAAAATATTTTTTATTGATAAATTTTTCTAATAATAAACAAAAAAAAATTAGAAAATAACTTTTCATTAAACAAACCTAGATTATTATTTCTGCTAAGAATAAAAACAAACGAAACTACATACCAGTTTCATGGACCAATAATAAAAGGTGAAAGAGAAAAAAATGGAAGACCATGACTTCATCTGGTAATCTGTACTGTTCAGATTACTGAATTGTATCCCTCTTTTCCTCAGACACGCCAAAATCTGCAGCCTAATATATAGAACTAGGTGGTTTCTGTGGTCCTTCCAGTTTACTAGCATTAATGTTCTCGGCTAGATATCAGCTTGAACTAACATTACATGCTATCGCACTGAAAATTATACAATAAAAACATATAGTTCAAAGAGGAAATCTGCTACATTTGCATTTCAGCCATTAGTTCAGACCTAACATTGACACTATGCATCATGAAACTTGCTGTTCAGTCAACTGGTAACGTCACTGTCTAATTGGAAAACACCACCAGTAGAATATTCTAGTGAAAAGGAACAAACATAAAGTGATAAAATAAGCTAAAAACGTGTTGATTAGTTAGTAGTAGACTTACTTGTGGTAACTGAGCCATCTGCTGTTGCTTGGACCCCTGAAAGGGGTAGAAAGAAAGAGGACTAGTCAGTTAGCTACGTAATAATGCTACTGGTAATACAAGGTTGGGCAGTGACATTCTCTGATGATGGATGTGAAAGAAAGAACGAGAATTCAAACAGCCCATATCACGATTTCTGCAACCAACATGGTGTCTAGCATCTTCTCATCATTCACACTCTTTCTTTTTCCTAGTTCT